GGGATCATGACCTGAGCCGAAGGCAGATGCTTACTGACTGAGTCACCCAAGCGTCCCTAATTTATTGAATATTGTACTGAAAGTGAAAAAACAGAAGGGTTGTAAGTATATTAGTTGTTTGTCCTCATGATTGCGTGGCTGACTGGGAGCTGTGGCACCCTACCATACTGCCCAGCATTCTGAGAGAGGATCATCCTGCATGTGGCTAACCCAGGAAAAGATCCAAAGTCAAAATTCCAAGTATGGTTTCTACGGAATTCATATTGCTTTTACAATTCATACCATTGTAAAATTGAAAAATCGTAAGTTGAACCAGCATAAGTTGGGGACCTCCGTAGTACTGTATTATCCACACCCTACATGTAAATAAACTGAGGCACAGAGAAGTTAAAGAATTTGCTCAAGGGGCGCCTGGATGGCTCAGTCTTAAGGTTAAGTGTCTGACTCTTGATTTCAGCTCAGGTCATGATCTCAAGGTCGTGAGATCAAGCCCCGAGTTGGAGCCTGCTTGGGATTCTCTCTCTCTCCCTCTTCCTCTGTCCCTTCCCGCATGCGCACACACACTCTCTCTCTAAAAAATAAATAAATAAATAAATAATAAAATAAAATAAGATAGACTTAAGATCATACAGCTATTAAGTGGCAGAATATTTAAGCCCAGGCAGTTGGCCTCTGAGCCAACACTCCTCACAAGGATTCCCCACAGTCTCTCACAAGAGATTGTTACTGCCTTGAAGAAAGGCTTCGAGCTTGCCTTGAAGAAAGTTCCGAGTCACCACCCTCATGAAGCCCACAAAGAGCAAGAACAGCACTTGAGACCAACTGTGTAGACTACAATTTGGCCCAGTTAAAGAGACTTTTGCCCTTTTCCTCCCCAACCCCTGCTCATCCTAACATAACAAGGACTGGCACGTAGAAGGAAGCCAGGATGAATGCAAATAGCAAAACACCAACTCACTCCCACTTCCCAAGCCACCAAAGCTAGGGGTAGATCTAGGCTGTCTGGAGGGTAAGGAGGAAGAAGGCTTTGATTCCAGTTTGAAACTGACATTTAAAATGTACTTGATACCAAATTTCAGAGTAAAATCTTAAAAACCAAAAGTTTTAGTGTTTTAGTAGCTGAAAGTGGCTAGAAAGTTGTGGAATCTGGCAACATGTCCTCCGTGGGAAAGGGGACTTCATTGTTGCACAGTTCAGGGGCAGGTATTTGGTGAGGGTTGCCAGCGGGGAGGACCATTTCATGGTTTTTGTCATGAGACTTCACACTGAACATTCTTTCTCTTTTGAGGTGATTTATCCTCTCCATTATTTGTTAGGTAGGCAGGGGGCATTCTTACTAACCTCATTTCCAAGTGTTTAGGAGAATAATGCTTCACTGTAGTCCCCCGATTTAGACACATTATACAAACTAACAATACAAACTACTTGTACCAGTGATAGAGGGATTAGAAAGGACTTCACTATGGGGATGACCCTTGAGCTGAGTCTTGGTTAGTTAATTGGCTGAGACAAGTCTCAAGGTTTGAGGGGCTCCTGGGTGGCTCGGTCAGTTAAGCATCCAACTCTTGATTTGGGCTCAGGTCATGATCTCAGGGTCCTGGGATCAAGCCCCTCGGCAGGGTCCTGGGATCAAGCCCCTCGGCGGGCTCCAAGCTCAGCGGGGAGTCTGCTTGGGATTCTTTTCTCCCTCTCCCTCTGCCCCTCCCCACCATGCACATTCTCTCTTTCTCTCTCTTTCAAAATAAATAAATCTTTTTAAAAAATCTCAAGGTTTAGGGGCGCCTGGGTGGCTCAGTCGTTAAGCGTCTGCCTTCGGTTCAGGTCATGATCCCAGGGTCCTGGGACCGAGCCCCATATCGGGCTCCCTGCTCAGCAGGAAGCCTCTTTCTCCCTCTCCCACTCCCCCTGCTTGTGTTCCCTCTCTCTGTCAGATAAATAAATAAAATCTACAAAAAAAAAAAAAACCCAAGGTTTGAACTTGGAAACAGTTTGAGAGGTTTGACCCTATAGCAGGACATTCTAGACCCAGCTAGTCTGAGGAAAGCCAAGATGGGTATACTAGAGGACAGCAGGACTCCTAGAACCTACTATGGCTTCCTCAGCCAAACTGTGACAAGACCTCGACAGCCACATAACCACTAAATTCTGTGATGTCATAAATAACTCTGATTGCCCTAGTCACTGTATTTAAGTCTCTGCTCAACAAAGTCCAAGTGATATACTTACACAAAATAACTTACATTCCTAACACAACTTACATTTGGGCATGTTGCTAAAGTAAATTTTCCTCCTGATTCCCACACTAGTCATTGTGCTCTTTGGAGTATTGTTTTGGTTTTCCTTTTCCTCTTTTCTTACTTTTATTATAATGCCTTTTATACTGCAGGCTTAGACTAAATAAAGTCACAAAAAAATAGGACAAGGGAAAGTTGCTGCTGAAGTAAAGTTGCCTTGTCAAGAAGCCAAAGCTGTGTATATAAGGAGTCTGTCCTGTGAACTGCTCAGATAAGATAATAGGGAAGGGAAACAAAAACTCAGATCGACGAAGTCCTTCGGAGAAACTTACTCCAGGCCTTACTTCCGCTCTAACTTAAAGACAAAGAATTTTTACTATATACTACCATCTGAAATACAGTAAGTTAAAAAAAAAAAGTTCAAAAGAAGCAGGTACTTAAGGAAACAACTTAAAATTTACTTACGAAGGAAATCCTAATGAAATTTTCCTAAAAATGATACTCCAGTTAAGCTTCACCTAAACAGTACAGCCTAGTAAAATTCATAAACTGGTCTTCTCTCAGAGCCTTTGTACTTGCTGCTTTCCCCGCCTAGCAAGGTCTTCCCTGGACATAAACATGGCTCATCCTTTTGCTTCTGTCTCTGCTCAAATGCCTCCTGGTCACAGAGGCTTCCCTGGACACCCTATCAAAAGAGGTACCCTGCGACACCTGGCTCCTCAGTAGAGCATGCGACTCTTGATCTCAGGGTCGTGAGCTCAAGCCCCATGTTGGGTGTAGAGTTTACTTTAAAAAGGGGTGGGGGAGGCTCCTTGGTGGCTCAGTCGGGTTAAGCGTCTTGACTTTTAGTTTCATCTCAGGTCATGATCTCAGGGTCTTGGGATTGAGACCCACATCAGGCTCTGCACTCAGCACAGAGTCTGCTTTTCTCTCTCCCTCTCCCTCTGCCCCTTCCCTCTCCTCCCTTGAATAAATAAATAAATCTTTAAAAAAGAGAGAGAGAGGGAGGGAGGGTGGGAAGGAATGAGCGTTACCCCTACCAAGGCCCACCCACCTGGAGTACTTCCCAGGCTCTTTATTTTTCTCTTCTTTATTTCTCTCCATAGCAATCATCATCACCTGAGTGGGGTTTTGTTTTTTTTGTTGTTGTTTTTCTTTTTTTCCCATTGGTTTGTCTGTCTTCTCCCATAACCTCCCTGAGGAATGTCTGTTTGGTTTCCTCCAATAGCCTTACAGGGGAACAATCCCTGCCAAGTAGTAGGCATTCAATAAAAATTAGTTGAAATAATGAAAGAATAAATGATCATGATTTTCAAAGTTTTGTTGAATTACTATTTATTTATGCACTGAAATAATTTTTCTCTATAGGAGTACTTGAAATATGATCATGTAAATATTTAGACTAAAAATCATGAGACTTAAGCCCCACCTCTGCCTTTGATTTCTTATGTAACCTGGTTAGCTAATTTCTTGGAGCTTCTTCACCTTATGTATCTGACACCCTATGGGTTGCAACCCTGACTCTAAAATCCAACAGAAAAATAGATTCCATATTTAAATATTCTCTGTGTATGTCACCTTTTTGTTGCATATGTATGGCATAAAACATAGTACAGCTATAAAAGGCACCTGATGGGGTTCAGAATTAACATCCACAAAATGTGCCACTTGGCATGCAGATTATTTGAAGCTGAAGACAATCTAGGCCCAAAGACTCAGGAAGAGCTTTTTATCTCCCCCTTAACTGCCTCTAAGAATTTAGAAGGAGGGCCTGATCCAGGAAAACAGCTATCACCGGAGAGAACTACAAAGAGTATGGGCTAGGTGCAGCAAGCCAGAAGGAGCTTGGCAAGGGCATGTTTTTGTTCAAATTCCTCTCTGTGTCCCCTGTCTCTGCATGGCATGGCATGGCAAAACATTTGTTTACCAAACATTTGCTCTTCCCACCTTCCTGTGAATTGTCTTCCTTCCCTTTGAAGCCCCAGGCCCCACCTTCTCTTTAGTTCAGGGTAGCATATGAGCCTCAGTTGCCTGTCTTGGAGGCTCTCATGTCCTTGTGAGGTGTCCATACATAAGAAATTAAACTTATTTTTCTCCTATGAATCTCATCAATTTAATGAATATACCAGCCAAAAGAACTCAGAAAGACAGAGTAAACATTTTTCCTCCCATACACACCAAACAGCTCAAGACTTTTTTTCAGCTACACTTGGAAAGCTGTTTCAAATATGTTAAATTATCAACCAGACGTAAAGGCCAGGGGGAAATCAAGATGATTTCAGGAATAATGTCTTTAAGTCTCTTATGGACCAGAATGTCTAAGTCCGTTATGGGAAGAACGTATTTAATTAGATAAGACAATACATGTAAAGTGATGTACGTAGCGCCTCGGAAGGTAACAGGTGTTCAATACATTTGCTAACAATTATGCTACTTAAAGAATCTCTGAGCTGACAAGAATTTTGAGTATTGTCTATCACTCGATTATCAAGTATTTAGAGAGAAGTTTCGTTTTTTGAATAAAGATGATTATAGTCACACAATCGTGCAGAATGCCCCCCAGTGTGGGTACAAATGAAGACCAACAAAGCCCAAGTTTTAACCAGTAAGCTCTGTTGCCTCCTCGGAGAAAGGACATGACAAACACCCGACGGGCAGAACCTGAGGGACAAAGCCCTGCTCCGTCTTCCCCACTCCTAAATTTTCCCGCCAGGCCCCGCGCTCCACCCTAATGCAGCTGCGGATTCTCTCCGCCCCCAGCTCCTCAGCCCCTAGTTCCCGTCATCCCCTGGGCTCTCCCCTTCCCCGGCCGAAATCCCGCGTGGGCTCTTTTCCTCCGCGCTGGTCGCTAGGTGATTCCCGAGGACTGTCGGAAGTCTCGCGACGGGGGGTCCCGTTGCCCTGGAAACGAGTGGCCTCGCCTCTTGCGGGGCGAAGGGCGTGGCTGGGGCTGTTAAACTACAGTGGCGTTGCTTCCAGCTACTAGACTGTAGGTGTCTCCGGTAGGACGGCTGCTCCCCCCAGGGAACGGACGACTGGCCAGGCCAGAGGACTCGGGGCGGGGACGAGGGCCCGGCCAAGGCGGTCGAGAGGGGAAAGACATCGCAGACGGGACGCCCCCTGGGGGAAGCGAGCGCGCCTGGAAGACCGCGCGTTCCAGAAAATGAGCTCCTTCCCATACTGCCGCGTCCAGAAGTGAGGGTGGGAGGAACACCTTGCCGACACCACTTGTGGCTTAAAAGGCCCCAGTCCTCCCCACCTAGAAAGTGACCGTGCCTGCCCGCAGACCTGCCCGGCGCGGCTGGGCTTGGAAGCGTCTGCTTTTGCCTCTTCTGCCGCCGACGTGGAAGCTACCCAGGAAGCGCCCATTAGATAATCTGCGTGTGTGGCTTTCTTGAAGCCCAGGTTTTACATTACAGCAGGTCAGCACGCTGGTGTGCCGCCTGTGTTCGTGTAAGGAAATAGAATCAGGATTTATGCCAAGGTTTCCAAATTTGGAATTGTGGTGATCCCCAGATTGAGACTTAAGTCTCTTAATACTGGAGAGGTCTTCCCTCTTGCATTAGTAGTTATTTGCTCTGTGTAGAGAGGAGCATAAACCAATAGATTGGAAACTGGCAAATTCCTTTGGTCTCTCAAAAATAATAGAATCTTAGCAAGGAATTTCTGTTACTCCATTGTCTTAATAACCACTTGGGAGGATGCTTGCATGGGAGGAGGAGTGGTCATGGCCAATATAACCTTCTGATAGCTATTGAGATTTAAGTAAGAATAATTGAATATTAGAGACAGTATCTACAGAATATTAACCAAAATATAAAGAGAAAAGTGTATTGTAGTCATTTGAGCTTTTGGTCAATTGAAAATTAAGCAGAAAAAAATTTAAACTATGTTGTTAGATTTCATTGCCTAAGTAAGTAACTATAATTTTTCTTTCATTCGTGATCTTTTTAAATGCCTCAGGATCATTCTGAACTTGCTATGCCCTGTGGTAATGTAAATACAGGATGTAAATGATTTGGCTGTGTAGCCTGGAGATTTCTTTTTTCAATTAAATTATTTACTTGATTAGTCTTTTATTGTGATTTTTGTCTCTTTCATGGAAATGGAAAATTTCTTCAAATCTTTGAAGCTGAATGTGTAATTAGCTGTGTCCTAATTAATTTAGCTTTTAGAGAAGCCTGTTGTCACTGTTAATTAAACACAATTGGATATATCTGGGGTTACTCATTTAATGTAATAAACACCTTCAAGTTAAACAGAAAACTGTCAAATAAGTTGCTTAGAAATTGTTTTACAGCCTACCTACATAATAAAAGAAATTTCAAGCCAGATATTGGAAGAAATGTCAGAAGATTCAGAAAAGGAAGACTATTCAGACAGAACAATCAGTGATGATGAATCCGTATGTTTTTTTTTCAACTTTATCCCACTTAATTTCAGATAAAACTTGTGTTATAAATTCCCAGTAAAAATATTATAAAATCAGTTGGTTGTAAAAATCAATTGATGTTTAAACCACTTGTCACTGAAGTTGGAAAATAATTTGAAAGCCAAGATACTACTATGTGCAGTATGCCTTATCTAGAAAGAGAACCTATATTGATATTTTTGAGAAAATATTTTGGCTAAGATTCTTCTGAGTTTTACTTAACAGTGTGTATTAAATCATTACTAAGGTTTTATTTTTATAATTCATGTTCACTTATATGTATTCTGTTATATCATAATATGTATCGTAATACTGGATCCCCTGTGTTCTAAACCTGGGTATCACCATAATAGGTTTAATGTGGCTCTGATGTAACAAAGGAAAGGACATGGAGGAAGAAAAAGGGAAAAACAAAATGCAGTATTTCAAAATAGTTTGTCTGGTTCTAGTACATATGAGAGATTTCCTTCAGATTTTAGTAAAATGGAAATTATCAGGTATATAAGTTAAGGTCCCAAAATAAGCTCCCTAAATAATGTATCACTCTTTAAGTCCATGGCTTTCTGTGCTGCTTTTCTTTTTGTTAACTTTATTGAAGTTTAAATTGTCTTGCCAGGTTTCCAGGAATTTTTAAACTGTATTTCCTCTGTACAGTCATTAATATGACCTTACCCAATGAAAGAAGGGGGATGAAAACTTGAAGGTTTCAGGATATTTGAAGTATTGGGCACTTTGAGACCAGTGGCCCATAATAATCCTTTGATTTTTTTCATTCATTACAGAATAGAAAGAAGCACTCAATTCTAAGTACTAAAATAGATGTAAAAAATTTCTGGATGTGGAAACTTGGTTTTTTAAAAATATTTTAAAACTCTCCTGTTTTAGGATGAGGATAACTTCATGAAATTTGTAAGCGAAGATATCCACCGGTGTGCACTTTTAACAGGTTTGAACTTATCCATATATTCTCCCTTCTCTTTAGGATAAGACCTTGAGTATTCACACAGGGTCAGTGAAAAATAAGAAAATGAAGAAACTAGAAAAAATTCAGATTGAATAATATAGAAGTGTATTCTGATATTGGATAAGGAAAGAAAATGTATCCACTTTTATAAGAATCTTTTGGAGCTCAAACTTTTAAGGTTTTAGGTAAACCTGATATTTAATGAAACTAAATAAAAGTAGTCATTACTTTATAAAGGAATACACTTAACATAAGGATTTAAATAGGCATTTCTTTAAATAACTAGCTCTTTAAATTTACTGTATGACTCAAGTTATAATGGACACTGTTTTGAAGTACATTTTTATTTAAATGAAGTTTGCCTGTATAGTTTCCTTAATAAAGTGATTGATTTGCAAATGAACATATATGTGGAATCTTGATGTATACTTGATTTTTTTTAAATGTATACATTTAGAGGTTTTTTTTAGTGTATATCTAAAATATTTCTTCTTAGTATTCACATATCTATCACAAGTAATCTGAAATTGAAATAAGGCTTTAATTTATCTTTTTTCCTCTTTTTCTTTTTTTTCTTTTCCTTTCTTTTTTTACCATCATCCTAAAACAAATCTTTTGAGATACCTACTATTCTCAGTTTGGTATGTATCCTTCTAGACCTTTTTCTTTGCATTTATACACATATCTATACCCATACTCATAGAAAATTTGTAGTACTAATTTATGGACTTCTTGCCATCCTTTTTTTCTTTTTAAAATTTTGCCAATCTGTTGGAAGAAAGGAGGTGACTCACTGTTTTCACTAACATTTCCTTTATTGCTGAAGAAATTGAGAGTTATTTTATATGCTTGTCTCTAGTCACTCTTATAATGAATTGCCTGTTCATAGTAATCCTTTTTTAATGTTGCTTCTATTATTTAGAATTATTTTGATGTTAAATTTATCATTGATTTGTGGCTCTTTATTTTTATATCTGTTTAAGCTTCCCTACCCCAAGGTCACCAATATAATCATCTAAGTTTAAATACTTTTAATTTTGATATTTAATTTCTCTATAATTTACATTTATGAATAGTATGAGATATGGATCTAATTTTATTTTCTAATTCATAGCTGCCTTGCCATTTTTGAGTCATACCATAAATTAGACAAAATGTGGTCTGTTCACATAATGAAATACTAGATGCTTAGTAACAGTCTGTTGAATAAATGGATCTAAATAACAATCCTGAGAAGTAGCAAGGGAAGGTGTTATTATTTCTTATTCACATACAGTAAAATTTATGTTCAAAGAAGCTGCATTAGCCAAGCAAAATCGTATAGAAACAAAGTGGTAGAATAGAACTCAGTTTGTCTGACTCCTAGTCCAACTTGCTATATTTGCTCTTGTACAAAAATAGCCCAAAACTAAATCTAGGTAAAAAACCACGTTTTGGAGGTGGTAGAGCAAGAGGAGACAAATGGAGAACCAAGTATGTGAACAGTAGGGAGAAAACCAGAAAGTGTAGCATCATAAAAGACAAGGTACAGGAGCTTAGGGAGGGGAGATTATCCACAGCAATTTGATGCCCCACAGCTAGCCCATTGAAAGAGACAGGGCCTCTGCACTACCTACTTGGGGCAACCCCATTGTATTCTGTGTGTATTATGCTCTTGGGGTTGTGTCACATAGTGACCCTAGAATGAGAACTGAGAAGAAGTTGTGACTGAGAGTTCTCTAGCAACCTTTGAGGATATAGAGCTAGTAGGTGGTGAGGAATTATGGTCATGGGGTGTATTTAACCCATTGGGCAAATAGTTGCCTCAGTGTGTTTAAGTTTAAGTAGAGGCGCCTGGGTGGCTCAGTCGGTTAAGCATCTGACTTCAGCTCAGGTCATGATCCCAGGGTCCTGAGTCTCAGGGTCCTGGGATCCAGCCCTGCATCAGGCTCCATGCTCAGCAGGAGTCTGCTTGTCCATCTCCCTTTCCCTCTGTCCCTCCCCCAGCTCGTGCTGTCTCTGTCTCTCTCTCAAATAAATAAATAAAATCTTAAAAAAAAAGACTCAACAGTAGACAGTTTGCTAGAAAACCTGCAAGAAACAAATGTTTTTGGAGTAGCATTGAGAATTTAGCATAAATTAATAGTATCTGAGGTCAACAACTACTTTTTGGCTATTGTGAAGATCAATTGTTATAAAATTTCAATAGTAACTTTATTTTTAAAATGGCATGAATTATAAAATGATATCCATAAATACAAATTAATGGTATTGGAAGAGAAAAAGGAATATATTTAAAAAGTATAGGAATTGGGGTTTTGCTGCTTATCACTCATGATTGTGTTTGAATCTTTTTTTCAGCTGACTCTATTAGTGACCCATTTTTCCCCCGAACTACCCAGATACTGTTGGAATATCAACTAGGGAGATGGGTGCCACGTCTTCGTGAACCACGAGATTTATATGGTGTCTCTTCTTCTAGTCCGCTGAGCCCTACACGGTGGCCGTACCACTGTGAGGTCATTGATGAAAAGGTCCAGCATATTGGTATGTTCTTAGCAGTTTTTGGAATTCAAATATTAGCAAACTAACTTTGCCAACCTTAATTTTAATGAGGAGACTTGTGGTGTTAGAATATTGCATTCCAGCAGGAATATAACATGAGCTATATGTATCATTTAAAATTTTCTAGTGGCCACATTTTAAAAAGGAAAAAGAAACAAGTGAAATTGATTTCAAAAATATATTTTATTTAACCCAAATTTATCCAAAGTATTTTGCATTCTTTTTTTTTCATATGAAATCTGGTGTGCATTTACACTTGCATTTTAGCTCAGATCAGCCACATTTCAAGTGTTCAGAAGCCACATGTGCTTAAAAGGGGGACGTAAAACATGTGCCAGAATTTTGTAATTCTGAACAATTTGAAATAGCATGACTGTTCCAGTCACATTCAAACTCATACATAAAGTGAGGTCATGGACAGAGGGTATGCCAGATGGTTCTGCAGTCTTGCTCCTTTTTTTCTCCGTATCTCTTGCTCCCCGCGCCCCCCCGAATATCTTTTTTCTCCTCTGTGTATCTTTATCCTCTTTCTTTCTTTCTCCCTTTTTTTCCACTTCTCTTCCGCTCTTATTTTTTTTTTATCTTTGTGCCCCTTTGTCTTTTTTTCTCTCCTTCCCTCTTTCTGCTTCTTTCCCTTAATGTATGTTTTATGGACCCAAAGAGGACATATTTTAGTGAATATTTTTATGTTTCTGTATATGCAGTCCCAAATTTTGTTTTCATTCAGTGTTTTGCAGCCTTACCTTCCCAGTCCTCACACCTGAATAATAGAAACATTTCCATTATTCATTACCTCCTCACTGCCACTGTTTTTCACCTTGGGTTGATGATAGCATATACATTATTGCCAGGTAGAGATCTTATTAGACATTCACTGGTGAATAAAATTAAAAACTGGCTATAGTTACTGTAACTGTCTATACTTACTATATTGCTTACTTAAATTAGATGCTACTTAGGCATTCTTATAAACTAAGTTTTCTCTTTATATTATCTAGTATATAGAGAAAGAGGGGAAGGGAGAAGTGCCTCTCTCCCTCTTTCCCCCTCTCCTTTCTCTCTCTCTATATATGTATATATGTGTATATATATATATATACACACACACACATATATATATATATATATGCTTCAGAAAACTTCAAGTCAAAAGTTCTCAGCTGGGTGTTTAGGCCCCCCTGGTCTTATGGTCAAGTCAGGCTGTCTGATTCTGCCAAATGAAAACCATCAGTAAACAAACTGCCCATGATGGGTACCAGGGGAGTTTCAGACTTTAAATAGCACATTATAAATCTTACTGTCCTTACCTTGGCCAACTGTCAAAGCTAGATATCCAGACTTTCCCAGCTATAAAAATAGAGCTTTTCCAGTCAGCTATAAATGAACACTATCCTACACAACCATATACCTTGAAAGTCTTTCCATATAAGCTCATATATACCAATCTCTTTTTTAAATAAATTGGTTCATTAGATTTAATTCAGTGAATACAATACTTTCTTTAACTGGTGCCTTATCATTGAGTTTTAGATGTTTCCAGTCTTTGGCTCTGACAAACAGAACTTCATGAACATTCTTTTATATATGTCCTTCTGTGTGTGTGTGTGTGTGTGTGTGTGTGTGTGTGTGTGTCTAGTTGTAGAGTAAATTCCTGGAGTTTCTAGTTAAAAGGATACTGCCAAATTGCCCTTCAAAAGGAGCTGTAACAATGTATAGTCATAAGTTTGTATGAGTGTGGTTGGTGGCCTTCAAGATTACCCTCAGGTTGAATGATTATAGAAGGACTCCTAGAACTCAAAAAAAATTTACAAAAGCTGTTATACTCATGGTTATGGTTTATTACATTGAAATGATACAGATTAAAATCAGCAAAGGTTAAAAAAAATCAGCAAAGGTAAAAGGAACATAGAATAGAGTCCAGGAGAGATCAGACACAAGCTTCCAGTTGTCCCCTCCCAGTGTAGTCTTATGGACAGTGTTTAATACTCCCAGCCATGATGTGAGATAATACACATGAAGTATTGCCAATCAGGAAAGCTCATCCAAGCTTTGGGGTCTATGGTTTCTTCTAGGGGCTGGTCATATCTCCATGGAGTACTCATGTGGCTGACCTTAGTTACTCAGTCTCTAGCCTTTCCTGTTAAAATTGATAGCATGTGGTGTAAGTCCCTCTACCATAAGTCACATTGCTGGCATAAATTATCTGGTATGACCCAAAGCCCCAAGTAGACAGACAGACAGACTCTCATCAAGCAGGATATTCCAAAGTCTGAGAAGTTATCTTCTAGGAGTTTAACAAGGGTGAAAGCTTTCTTGTGTATACAGAGTTTGGACAACCCAGGCCTGCTGAGTTAATCCTTTACTACACAATGAGAGGGCCTATTTTACCATACACTCATAAACACTGTTTAGTTACTTGTCTGATTTTCAACAGTCTGATATCATTTGTTTTATATGTTGCATTTCAATTTATATATTCTTTATTTATGAGTGACCTTGAACATCTTTATGTATATATATATTGACTGTTTTAGTTTTTATATTTATTTTATTATGGTAAGAGTACTTAAAATGAGGTCTACCCTCAGCAGATTTTTAAGTGTGCAATACAGTATTTTTTTTTTTAAGAATTTTTTTTTTTTTTTAAAGATTTTATTTATTTATTTGACAGAGAGAGACCCAGCGAGAGAGGGAACACAAGCAGGGGGAGTGGGAGAGGGAGAAGCAGGCTCCCCGCAGAGCAGGGAGCCCGATGCGGGACTCGATCCCAGGACCCCAGGACCATGACCTGAGCCGAAGGCAGTCGCTTAACCAACTGAGCCACCCAGGCGCCCTTGTGTGCAATACAGTATTGTTAACTAGAGGCACAAAGTTGTTACAGAGCTTATTCGTCGCATTATTGAAGCTTTAAATGTGTTGATTAGTAGCTCCCCATTTTCCCCTCCCGCTTGCTCCTAGCAACCACTGTTCCACTTTCTGATTCTATGAGTTTGACTATTTTAGATACTTTATATAAGTGGAATCATGTAGTATTTGTCCTTCTGTGACTGACTTATTTCATTCAGCATAATGTCCTCAGGGTTCATCCATGTTGTTGCATATTGCAGGATTTCCTTTTTTAAAACTGAATAATATTTCTCTCCCTCTCCCTCTCTCCCTCCTTCCCTCCCTCTCCCCCTCCTTCCCTCCCTCTCCCTGTGTGTGTGTGTAGCACATTCTCTTTGCATCATTTATCCATCAGTGGACATTCAGATTGTTTCCACATCTTAGCTATTGTGAATAGTACTGCAATGAATGTGGGAGTGCTAATATCTAATATATCTTCAAGATCCTCATTTAAGTTCTTTTGGGTTAATACCCAGTGGTTGGACGGCTGGATAATGTGGTAGTTCTATTTTTAATTTTTTGAGGAACTTCTACACTGCTTTCCACGGTGGTTGTACTATTTTTTATTCCCACCAACAGTGTACAGGGGTTCCAGTTTCTCCACTTCCTTGCCAACACTTGTCTTTTGTTTTTTGGATAATGACCATCATAATAGGTGTGAAATGATACCTCCCTGTGGCTTTGATTTTCATTTCCCTGAAGCTCAGTGGTGTTAACAATGCAATCCCTATCAAAATCCCAGTGGCGTTTTCAGAGAAATAAAAAACAACTCTAAAAGTCAGATGGAACACAAAAGGCCAGAGATAGCCAAATTAATCTTCAGAAAGAAGAACAAAGCTGGAGACATCACACTTTTTGATTTCAAAATGTACTACAAAGCTAGAGTAGTCAGAACAGTATGGTACTGGCATAAAGATAGACATGAGAGGCCACTGGAACAGAATAGAGAGCCCAGAAGTCCATGTTTATATAGTCAGCTGATCTTTGAAAAGAGTACCAAGAACATACAATGATCCCTTCAACAAATGTTGAGAAAATTGGATATCCACATGCAAAAGAATAAAGATGGACCCCTACCATCTTATACCATATTAAAAAAAAAAAAACAACTCAAAATGGCTAATGGATTAAAGACTTAAACATAAGACCTGAATCTGTAAAACTCCTAGAAGAAAATATATGGGAAAAGCTTCATGACCTTGCTATTGTTGATGATATCATGGATATGACACCAAAAGTACCGACAGCAAAAGCAAAAATAGACCAAGTGGGACTACATCAAACTAAAAAGCTCTGTGTGGCAAAGGAACCAATTAGCACAGTTCAAAAGCAATGTATGGGACAGGAAAATATTGGCAAACTGCATATATGATAAGAGGTTAATCTCTAAAATTCATGAAGAATTTCTATAACTCAGTAGCAAAAACAGTAATAACTAAATTTAAAAACAGGCTGAGGACTTGAATAGGCATTTCTCCAAAGAAGAGAGACAAGTGGCCAACAGGTGTGTTTATTGGCTTTTTATGTCAACTGATAAAATCCTTTGCCCATTTTATTATTGGTTGTACTTTTTGTTTCTTCTTGATCTGTAAGTGTTCTCTATGTAGTCAGAAGATCGGCTTACTGTGTCATATATGTTGCATAATTTTTTTCAGTTTGTCATTTGCCTTTTGTCTTTAGCATGCAGCAATTTTTAATTTTTATGTAATCACTTTGTCATTTTTCTGTGGCTTTCGGGTTTTGAAGTTCTCATGTTTCTCTCTTTTTTTTTAAGATTTTATTTATTTATTTGACAGAGACACAGTGAGAGAGGGAACACAACCAGGGGGAGCAGGAGAGGGAGAAGCAGGCTTCCCGCCGAGCAGGGAGCCTGATGCAGGGCTCGATTCCAGGACCCTGGGATCATGACCTGAGCCGAAGGCAGACGCTTAACGAATGAGCCACCCAGGCACCCCTCATGTTTCTCTTAGTTCTATTCAAGTTGTATTTTTTTTGTGATTAAAGTTTTCACCCATCAGCAATCCATTCTGATGCAAGAAGCAAGCTCTCAATCCAGTCCTGTAACCATCTAGCCAGTTGTTTAAAAAGTTGTTAAATTATTTCCTGTAAACTGATTGGAAATGCCACAATTATTAATGCTAAACTTCTAGGTCTAATTTTGAATTTTACTCTATTCCATTAACTTGTCTATTCATATGATGGCATGAATTTTAAAGCTTAAAGCTTTAAAATAAATTGTTATGTGATAAACTTGGTTCACACCATTACTTTATTCTTTTTAAAAATTTTCCATTTTCTAGGCTACTTTTGCCAAGACCTTTCTCTAAAGATAAACATGGCCAATAAACACATGAAAAGATATTCAGCATCTTTAGTCATCTGGGAAATGCAAATAAATACCACATTGAAATACCACTTTATACCCACTGGAATAACTAGAATCAAAATCTGATAACATGTGTTGATAAGAAATTAAACATATGCCCCCCAAAAAGCTTATATGTAAGTGTTAATATAGTACCATTATTCTAATAGCCAAAAGGAAACAATCCAAATATCCATCAGTGGATGAGTACTGTTTCATGGAAATCAGAGGAGACTACATTTTACATTTTAACTTCAGCTCAGCAGTAAGCAATGATGACCGTGTGGAGCATAACCTGCTGATGGCTGATTCTATACATTGGTTGACAGCTTTGCATTGTCAACTAAAATTGAAGCCATGTATGTCCTAAAATTTAGAATTCCTACCTCAGGATCTATAACCAAGAGAAATGTGGGCACATGTGTTCCAAGGAACATGTATAAAGCTTATCATAGAACCATTGCTCATGATGGCCTTAACCTGAAACAACCTGAATGCCCATTATAAATAGAAGTGGATAAATAGATTGTAGCATTTTTATGTAATAAATTCTATAGCAATAAAAATGAATTACAGCAACACGCCACAAGATGGATTGATTTCACAAATATGTGAAAAAAGAGAAGACTATTATGTAATTCAACTTATGTAAGTACAAAAATAGGCAAAACAAAGCTGTAGTTTCATATCAATACTTACGTAGATATATTTATGCACATATATGTATGAATACTCAGATTATAAAGTTATAAAGGCAGACGAAGAAGCGATTGTGTTATGGTAAGGTTAATGGTTATAGTTCAAGGGGAAGGAGGAACGAGTGATTAGAAGGGGGTATGAGTGGGGCCTCTGAGGGGCTGGCAATGTAATAGATCTTGATCTAAATGCTATATGCTTTGTAATAAAACTCAGAACTATACTTCTTTGGTTTTGTACTTCTCATAAGTATAATTCCTCATAAACATTTTGTTTAAACATTTTATTTCTGACCATGTGAGTTATGGGTAGAATGAGCACAAATAATTGGCAAAACAGTGTTTCAGAGTAGAATCTGGAAATAGACTAGCACATTTAAGACCAAATTATTTTTAATAAAGTCACCAGAGCAATCCGGTGGGGATAAGTCTTTTTAATAATTGGTGCTGTAACAACCTAGTGTCCATGTAGAGAAAAAATAAACTTGACCTCTACCCCTCTCAGCACACACAAAATTAATTCAAGATAGATCACAGGACTAAACATAAAAATTAATTCATAATGCTCCTTGAAGAAAACATAGTACAATATCTTCATAATCATAGGATAAAAACAGTCTAGAGAGGACCCAGAAAGAAAAAAGAAACAATGAAAATAAGTTTGACTTCATCAAAATTTTAAATTTCTCACCAAAAGACACAATTAACAAAATGAAAAGGCAAGCCACAGTCTAATATTCCCAGCACATATCTGACAAAGAATTCGTATGCAAACTATAGGAAGAATTCCTACAAACCAATAATAAAAAGAAAACTAATTAAAAATGGGCAAAAGAGTTGAACAGACATTGCTCAAAGGAAGACATATAACGGCTAATAAATGTGCAAAAGTGTTAAACATGGGAAGGGAAAATGAAAATCACAGTGAGATACCACTTTACACTAGAGTGGCAAAATTTAAAAAAATTTTAAAGGCTGACAGCTCCAAATATTAGAATGTAGAACAACTGGAACTCTTATTCTATTAGCTTGCTTTTTACTTATTTTTTTTGTTATGTCACCACACAGAGTGTCATTAGTTTTTGATGTAGTGTTCCATGATTCATTGTTTGCATATAACACCCAGTGCTCTGTGCAGAACGTGCCCTCCTTAGTACCCATCACTGGGCTAACCCATTCTCCCCCCTCAAAAAAACCCCTCTGTTTGTTTCTCAGAGTCCACAACTGGAACTCTTAATGCATTGTTGGTATGAGTGTAAAATTGTACAACCACTCTGAGAAAAGGTTCAGCAATTTTTCTTTTTAATAAAAGAAAATATACATCTATGTATTTGTTAGAACTCATTGAACATACAATTCAGATCTGTACATTGCATTATATATAATAAGTAAATTTTACTAAATTTAAAAAATAGCCACAATCCTTCATCCATGTATCTTCACCCTTTGTAATGTCATCTTCCATTCCCTTCTATCAAGAGGTGTCCTCTTTTCCCCACCCCTGGAAATAGGATGGCCTGTGACTTGCTTTAGCAAAACCAAGTGTGGCATAAGCAATAGCATGTCAGTGTTGACCTAGGTCTCAAAAGTCTTTGCGTACTTCTGCTTTCTCTTAAACCCTGTCCAGCCACCACAGAACAATCCATAGCTAGCTTATTGGATAGTTGAACGAGAGAAAGCCTGCATAGTTAAGCCCTGCATAAAACACTAAATTTTAGCCTAGATATACCAATGAATGACTTGAAAATATACAATAAAAATTTCCCGTTTTATTTTGAAGTAGTATTCAAATAAAGTTTTCTCTTTTTTCTTTCCAGATTGGACTCCTTCTTATCCTGAGCCATTGTACACCCCAACAGGCCTAGAGATGGAACCCCTTTATCCAAACTCCAAGGAAGATACTGTAGTTTATCTAGCTGAAGATGGTGAGTACATAATGAGACACATTGCTATAAAATATAATTTGGTACCTAGATTCATCCCTTAATTACATTTGTTTTGCTGTTTATAATGGAAACTGCACATTACCAGGAAGTCCCTGTCTCCATCAAGATGTTTGGTTACAGACTGATTCAAATGCGTATTTAGTGCTAATTATATTCTTGAAGGTGTACTGCAGTTTATACAAAGTTACTTTAAAATAAAATGTATTGCCCACTACAATGGAGAGTTATATTTAGAAGGAATTATGCTTCACATCAGTTTTCAAAGATAAATCCAATGGAGTGTTGTACGACTGTTATTGCCTTTCTATTCATAGGTCACATTCATGAAATCTTTCAGATGATTTTCTTTTATTTCATGCCAGTTTGATACTTTCTTGAGATTGCATCTTTCAAAGGGGGAAGTACCCCACACTGTAAGTAACATCTAAGATGGTATCTCAGGAAAGTGTTCTTAACAGGCAGGATCAATATTTGTACTTTGAGAACTCTAGTAATGCAAAATCTCTTACCTGCTTTATGATAGAATGCAAATAATAAAACATAGATGTCTCAGCCTATATCCTCAACTGTGTTGCTCCTAAAGCACCATTGTAAGGAAGTATGGGACTCCTGCACAATTAAAGGGCTGGCAAAACAGAAAAATTTACAAGGATTGTTTCCTATACAACAAACAATTGTAGAAATCATATACTCACATATTTTTAACAACAAAGGTAAAGACAAGCATCTCTGATTTTTTTTAATTTAATTTCAAATATTTGCACGGCTAACCTGCCTTAGAACTTCCACACACAACTTAAATAAGATCTGATAAAATATTAAAATAGTTAAGGTGAGTCAGTCAGGGTCTTGTCAGGAACTGGATGGCATACTTGGAGTAATTTAAGAAAGTTTAATGAAAGTATCACTTACCAAAGTGTGGATAGAATTAAGGGAGACTAACAAGGGGTGGTAAAGCAACCTAGGACTGTCAACAGAGCAAAATCATTGTTTCTTCTAGTCCTGAAAGAGTAAGAAGACAAAATGGTTTCCAGATCTGTAGCTGTAGGAGAGGGAAGTCCCTAAATAACTGGGGGGAAAGAATTCTGGGGTCATATTTTTTTCTTCTAAAGATTTTTTTTTTAAAGATTTACTTATTTATTTTAGAAAGAAAGAGAGTGTGTGTGCACAAGTTGGGGGAGGGGCGGACGGACAGAGAGAGGGGAAGCAGACTGCCTGCTGAGAGGGGGGCCCAACGCAGGGCTCAACCTCAGGGTCCTGAGACCATGACCCGAGCCGAAACCAAGAGTCAGACACTTAACTGACTGAGCCACACAGGGGCCCCTCCACACTTTTTTCTTTAAAGATGTTGTGCCATTGTCTTGTGACATCTGTTGTCTTTAATAAAAAGACAACCGTAATTTTTATCATTGTTCCCTATATGTGTGATGTGTCTTTTTCTCTCTGGATGTTTTTAGCAATTTGACTATGATCTGCCTAGATTTGGATACCTTTATATTTATCCTGCTTGATGTTTGCTAACTTCTTGGGTCCATAGGTTAATAGAGTTGGGTTTTTCCCCCCAAATTTGAGAACTTTTTAGCCATTATTTCTTCACATATTTTTTCTATATTATTCATTCTCTTCTGTCCTTTGGAATTCCAATTACACATATGCTGGATTTCTAGCTATGTTCCACATGTCAGTGGATCTTTATGTTTTTTTTCCTTCTCTGTCCTTGAGTTTGGATTAATTGTATTTATTTGTTTTTAAGTTCACTGAGTCTTTCTTTTGCAATATTCAGTTTTTCTTAAACCCATCTAATCTTTAATTTCAATTATTGTATTTTTTATTTCTAGAATTTTTCTTTTTTTAAATAACAACAACTAAAATTTATTCAGTGCTTACTATGTGTCAGGCATGGGTCTAAACACTGAAACACTTTACATATTATCTTTTAGTCCTTTAAAAATGTCATCCCATTGGCCTCTGACCTCTGTTGTTCCTAATGAGAAGTCATTAGTAATTCCTATCATGGTTCTCCTGTTTGTGATGTGTTTGCTTTCTCTGGCTGCTTTTATTTATTATCTTTATCTTTCTTTTTTTTTTTTTATTCTATATATTTTATTTTTTTAATTTATTTTTAATTTAAATTCAGTTAATTCACATATAATTGTTACTGGCTTCAAAGGTAGAGGTCAGTATTTATCAGTCTGATATACTACCCAGTGCTCATTATATCACGTGCCCTCCTTAATGTCTGTCACCTTGTTACCCCATCCCCACAACCTCCTCCACGCCAGCAACCCTCGGTTTGTTTCCTATTATTAAGAGTCTCTTATGGTTTGTCTCCCTCTCTGGTTTCATCTTGTTTCATTCTTTCCTCTCTTCCCCTATGAGCCTTTGTTTTGTTTCTTAAATTCTGTATATCAGTGAGATCATATGATAATTGTCTTTCTCTGATTGACTTATTTCGCTTAGCATAATCCCCTCTAGTTCCATCCATGTCATTGAAAATGGCAAGATTTCATTTTTTTGATGACTGAGTACTATTCCATTATATATATATATACCACATCTTCTTTATCCATTCATCTGTCGATGGACATTTGGGCTTTTTCCATAATTTGGCTGTTGTAGACATTGCTGCTATAAACATTGGGCTGTAGGTGCCCCATCGGATCACTACATTTGTGTCTTTGGGGTAAATACTAGTAGTGCAATTGCTGGGTCATAGAGTAGCTCCATTTTCAACTTTTTGAGGAACCTCCATACTGTTTTCCAAAGTGGCTGCACCAGCTTGCATTCCCACCAACAGTGTGAGAGGGTTCCCCTTTCTCTGCATCCTCGCCAATATCTGTTGTATTTCTAGAATTTTCATTTGGTTCTTTTTTGTAGTTTGGGGGGTTTTTTGAGATTACTTTATCTGCTTATTCATTATCTATCTTTTCCCTTAAGTCTTTAAATACATATATTCAATTCAATTCTCTGTGTGTGTGTGTGTGTGTGTGTTTAAAGTCCTCTGTTAATCCCAACATCTGGGTTGTCTTGGGGTTTGTTGAAAGTGTGTGTGTGTGTGTGTGTGTGTGTGTGTGTGTGTGTGACCATGGATCACATTTTTCCTGATTTTCTTCATGCTTCATAATTTTTTCCTAATCATATGCAGGACATTGTGAAAGATATGTCGTAGGAGTCTGTATTACGTTCTTTTCAAAAATTATGCTGAATTTTGTTCTGGTAGGCAGTTAAATTGCTGGCAGATCACTTTGCTTCTTTCAGCTTTGGTTTTATTTTTTTATTTTATTTATTTATTAGAGAGAGAGAACACAAACAGGGAGCAGCAGAGGGAGAGGGAGAAGCAGCCCCCCACGAGTGGGAAGCCTGATCTGGAGGTCAATCCCAGGGCCCTGAGATCATGACCTGAGCCAAAGGCAGATGCTTAACCAACTGAGCCACCCAGGCACCCTGGTTTTATTTATTTTTTTAATAAGGGCAGATCTGTTTTCATTTTGTCTTAGTCATTTAGTCCTAGGTCATTGTCCTTGCCCTTGGATGTGGTACTTACACCTAAAATGCAGCCTTTCTGGAGTCATGATTGAATGCCTGAGATACTCAATGAAGTCTTTCCATTCTGGATAGTTTAGAATTACAATATATTCTAGAATGGCATATCTGATATCTCAGCCCCACAGTTAATACTCTCTTATCTTACTGAGTCTTATTCTGTACTTCTGTAGCCAAACCCTCAGCCTTATGTAGCTTTCTTCTCTCTGGTGTCCTGCCTCATAATTTCAGCAGCCACAAGCAACAGTCTTGCCTCCTCAGCTCAGTAAGATTGTCCTACTACTGTTCTTAAGTGCCACCTTCTTAAGATGTAGTCAGACAGTATTGCCAGGAGGAAAGCCAAGGTTAGACATGGACTTACTTCGTGTATTTTTTTTTTTCAAACATTCTGTATAGTCCTAGTCCATATGTTATCCAGATGTGTGAAAACAGCTCATTTTCTTTGGTCCAGCTTTATAGTTATTTATAGTGAAAGGGCAAATTCAGGACCAATTACTCCATAATAATCAGAAGCAGAATAAATATTTTTAATGTGAGAAATACATGAATTTATTTTGGGCATTGCTTTTCTAGTCTGAACACTCTTAGACTTTCTTATTTCAACAAATCTGTGTGTCACATTACTTAAAAATTTAAAATCCTTAGTGACACTTCAATTATACTGTGGCTCCAAACTTTATGCAGGATAATCCGTGTACTCTAGACATGGTTTGATAGTATGGTCTTCTTCTGTCATCAGCTTACAAGGAGCCCTGTTTTGTGTATTCCCGAGTAGGGGGCAACCGAACACCTCTGAAGCAACCTGTGGATAACTATGACAATACTTTGACGTTCGAAGCAAGGTTTGAGAGTGGAAATCTACAGAAGGTAGTCAAAGTGTAGGTTTTAATTATTTTTATTTGAGGAGCTAGACCTTCAGCTATTTATTATTTTTGGTATTGGGTACATTGAAGTTTTAGTATTCATAAATGAACTGCAATTCCTTGAGGTATGATGCCAATTAGAGATGATTATGAAGGGGGTATGAAAGATTCACATTCTGGATTCAAATACTCTGAACTTAAGTCAAACAGGTTTCTGTACTGTCATTTTTTTTTAAGATTTTATCTATTTATTTGACAGAGACATAGCGAGAGAGGGAACACAAGCAGGGGGAGTGGGAGAGGGAGAAGCAGGCTTCCCGCGGAGCAGGGAGCCCAGTGCGGGGCTCGATCCCATGACCCTGCGATCATGACCTGAGCTGAAGGCAGATGCTTAACGACTGAGCCACCCAGGCACCCCTGTACTGTGCATTTTTAATATGCCAATATGAATTGTCATAGAGACGCACACTGCTTCTCAAACTTTTTAATGGAATAATACTTGGGATGAATGTTCTGTAAAACATGTTTGGGAACATGCATGCTATCCAAGGGCATTCTTTAAAAAATTTTTACTATAAAAAAATTCAAGTATGGAGAATAATACAGTTCTCCATTAACCATCACATACCCATCACCTAGATGCAACAGCTATGGTTTTGCATTATTCATTTCACCTATTCATAGGCCACTGTTGTTAACACACACATACACACAAAGGAAGTACATAGTGCTGATGGAATAGAAGGTTACTTGGTAAAGAAAAAGTCACAATTAACCCAGTAAGATTGTGTGTGTATATGTGTATAAAACAAACGTACCAATAAAATTATTTTTACCTTTAAGTATCCTCAGTGACTAAGTATGGGGAATGCAAATAGTTCTCAAATACAGTCCTCAAAGAGTTTCAAATTTTTTAATGTATGTGGTTTTATTAATTTATATGTTTTAAACCTTTCTAAGTGATAGTATTTCAGATCCCTAGAGTTTGAATCTAATAGAAAGCAGGAATATATATCTGAAGTAAAAAAAGGAACATCGGACTTGATTTCAGTTTTAGGAGCTCTTTAATCATTTCTTCTATAGGAAACATAATTGGGTTGAAATATAGAATTTTTTATCAAATGCCCATTTTAATGTGCTCTCTTGAATTACAAAAAAATAAAAAGGCTTTAGAGAATTAGCATAGAAGCAGTTTCAGATCCAATAAAAGAGAAAGTTTCAAAACTTTGATCTTTTACAATTGCTCGCTATTGGATGCTGCCTAAATAAACAGCTTCAGGAAAAAAGGCTTTCTGTGAATAGGTAAAAGTAAAATAATTTTCCTTATTTAATTTGAACTTGAATGTCATTTTTACATTTTTATGTGTTTTTCTTTCCTTCTGTGTATTAGGGCAGAATATGAATACCAGTTGACCGTGCGCCCTGACCTCTTCACAAATAAACACACCCAGTGGTACTATTTCCAAGTCACTAATACCCAAGCAGGAATAGTCTACAGATTCACTATAATCAATTTCACTAAGCCTGCTAGTCTTTACAATCGGGGTATGCGCCCACTCTTTTATTCTGAAAAAGAAGCCAAGGCTCATAATATTGGCTGGCAGAGAATAGGAGATCAAATCAAGTATTACAGGAACAACCAGGGACAAGAGGGGCGCCATTATTTCTCTCTTACATGGACATTTCAATTTCCACACAACAAAGATACCTGCTACTTTGCTCACTGCTATCCATATACTTACACCAACCTGCAAGAATATCTTTCTACTATCAATCATGACTCAGTACGGTCAAAGTTTTGTAAAATACGCGTCTTGTGCCACACGATTGCTAGGAACATGGTGTATGTTTTAACAATCACTACTCCCTTCAAGAGCACTGACTCAAGAAAACGAAAGGCTGTGATTTTGACTGCAAGGGTACATCCAGGAGAAACCAACAGCTCTTGGATCATGAAAGGCTTCCTAGATTATATTTTAGGAGACTCAAGTGATGCGCAGTTGCTTCGGGACACTTTCATCTTCAAGGTGGTACCTATGCTGAATCCAGATGGTGTGATTGTGGGAAATTATCGTTGTTCCTTAGCTGGACGAGATTTAAACCGTAATTATACATCTCTCCTGAAGGAATCATTTCCTTCTGTTTGGTATACCCGGAACATGATCCGTAGGTAAAATAAGCCTCAAATTACCTCTCTGCTTATTTAGTAAACTTGGTAGTGAGATTTTTGCTCCCACCATCCCATTCGTTTTACTCTAGCTTTTAAGATAGCTTAACTGATAGTTTAACTATAGCTACTTAATTTTTTCCCCATTCTTTCCACTCTTCTTTCTGGCATTATGCCACTGGATTCACTAGCCTTTTCTTAAATAATGAATAAATTTCTAGAACATTTTAATGGCTTTGTGAAACTAATAGTTAAATTTGCTTATCCCAAATCTGGTTTCTTGCTAAAGCTAAAGGTAACACTGATGTTTAGTTTGGGATGCTTGAATCTCTTACATGTGAAATTCTATCTCACAGGGCCTCCTGGCACTATGTTGATCATACATTGCTCTATGATGAGCCTTTTTTTATTCAGTTTTTAATTTTAATTCCAGTATGGTTAACATATAATGTTATATTAGTTTCAGGTGTACAATATAGGGATTCAACAATTCCGTACATTACTCAGTGCTCATCATGATAAGTGTACTCTTTATTATGATAAGTCTTTTGACTATCAGGATACATAGTTATTAAAATATTAAAATAAAACTTTGATGAATTATAGTCTTATTTCCCCCCCCCGAAAAAAATTGAAAAGCTTTAAATTTTCCAAAGAATCCAGGTCAGTAAATGCACATAATATTTAAATGTTTGTTGAATGGGTGAATTCTTTAATAGATTCAGGTGATAACAATCAGAAATTGGCATGTGCTAGAGCAAAAAGATTTAGAGTCACAGAACCCCATTCCAAGTCCAAAGCCCCTTAACCTTTTTGGCTAAGAGTGTGGAGTGGAGTTAAAATATCAGATTGGAATCCTGCTATATCATTTACTAACTATGTGACCTTGAGCAATTTAAAAACAAATCTAGGGCGCCTGGGTGGCTCAGTTGGTTAAGCGACTGCCTTCAGCTCAGGTCATGATCCCAGGGTCCTGGGATCGAGTCCCGCATCGGGCTCCCTG